TTTAGTTAGCCTGTTTTTTCCCCCCATTCCACTCCCCTGTCATAGGCAAGCATTCTAAGGTGATTAACGTGATTTGTATTTGAATGTGTCTTTCAAAACATGATAGTATTATACACATGAATTTTTAGTTTATATAGTGATGCCTTCTGTATATCATTCTGTTTCTTACTTTTTTACTTGTCATATTTATTTTGCTAAGTGTACCTCTAACCCATTGCTTCTAATAGCTTCATAATATTCTACCACATTTGACTTTCTGAATTGGCCCTTTCTTGCACTGCAATAAAGAAATACCTGAGACTGGGTAATTTTTAAAGAAAAGAGGTTTAATTGGCTCACAATTCTGCAGTCTACAGAAACTATAACACAGGCGTCCACTTCTGAGGAGGCCTCAGAAAGCTTACAATCATGGCATAAAGTGAACATGAGGAGCAGGCGTCTCACATGGTTGGTGCAGGGCCAAGAGAGTGCAAGGTGCCACACACCTTTAAACAACCAGATCTCACAAGAATTCACTCATTATGAGGACAGCACCAAAGGATGGGGCTAAACGATTCATGAGAAATTCACCCCCATGATCCAATCACTTCCCACCAGGTCCCACTGCCAACATTTGAGATTATTTTTCAACATGAGATTTGGGTGGGGACAAGTATCCAAACTATAATACCTGGTTATTCTCAAAGTGATGAACATATTCATCCTTATATGTCCTCTTATAGACTTACATGAAAATTTCTTTGGGCTCATTTTCAGGAATAGAATTGCTGAGTCATAGGATATGCATATTTTACTTTGATTAAGTAGTACCAGATTGCCCTTCTGAATGGCCTGCACCTGTCTATAACCCCCTGGTTGTAGTGGATGAGGATTTCTATATGCCTTCAACCTTATCAACACTTGCCATTTTCTAGCTTTCTAGTTTTTGCAAATCTTGTAGACTTAAATATCTTATTTTAATTTAACTTTATTTTAGTCCCAATATTTTGAACTTCTCTTCTTGGTTGTATGCTTCTGGGATTGCCTCTTATGCAACTTGACTGTTCTTATGCTTCATATATTTTTCTTTTCTTTTCTTTCTTTCTCTATTTTTTTTTTTTTTTTTGAGACAGAGTCTTGCTCTGTCACCCAGGCATTTCTCCTGTCTCAGCCTCCCAAGTAGCTGGGATTACAGGTGCACACCACCATGCCTGGCTAATTTTTTGTATTTTTAGTAGAGATGGTGTTTCACCTTGTTGGTCAGGGCGGTCTTGAACTGCTGACTTCGTGATCTCCCTGCCTTGGCCTCCCATAGTGCTGGGATTATAGGCGTGAGTACAGGCATGAGCCACCATGCCTGGCCCATATATTTTTCTTTTGGGGCCTCTTTTTCTTGTTGATTTGTAGGAGTCCCTTGTATATTCTAGATAATAATTCCTTGGTATTTTTAGGAGTTGCACATATTTTTCTCCCATTCTGTTATTAATTTTAAAAAAGTCTTTCTCTGTTTCTAGATCCGAGGTACTCTGCATTTTTCCCAGCAACTTTATAGTTTTATGTAAAAGCTACATATAGCTACATCTAGAGTCTACTTTTATATGTCGTGTTAGGTAGGGATATGACTTTATCTTTCTGCATGTACTAATACTGTTTCACCAACACATTAGTAAGTACTCTTTTGTCCATCAATTTGTGGTGCCATGTTTATGCTCTATTACACTCTTATTTTTTACATCAGTCTGATTTTGAGCTCTGGTCCTTTTACAATGGTCTATTTTTCTGTTCTTGCAATAGTCCTAGAGAGATTTTTGTTTTGTTTTGTTTTGTTTGTTTGTATTTTTCCCTAGGTATGTTTTAATACCTAGTGGGGCAAACCTTCCACTTTACTTTTTCAAAGGTTGATTTAGCTATTTCTAGGGTTTTGTTCTTCTATGTAAATTTAGAGTAAGTTTATTAGAAAATCCACTTTGAAATATGATTGAAATTGTATTGAATTGGTAGATTAATTTGAGGGATAATTGCCATCTTCATTATATTAAGTTGGCCTATCCAAGAGCATAGACATAATTTCTTTAGATTATCTTCTATATCCTTTATTAGACTTTAAAGTTTTATTGGTAAAGGTCTTATATATACTTGGTTAGGCTAATTTCTAGATTCTATATAGTTTTTGTGGCCATTGTGAATGGTGTTTTCTATTATGTTTTCTAAGTGGTCATTGCTGGTATAGGAAAATGCTATCGACTTTTGTAGGTTGATTTTATATTTGGTATCCTTGCTAAACTCTTTTATATTAGTTCTGAGAGTTTGGTTGATTTTTTTCTTTCATTTTTTTTTCTAGTTGGATGATTACTTTCTCTGTAAGGCATGCCAAACATAGCACTTTCTTTCTAATCCTTGCATTTCCTAATTCCACGCTTCCTTTTCTGATAGTATTTAGCTAGGATATTTAAAACAGTAGCAGTGATAGTTAGAGGTCTAGTTTTTCTTTTTTCATGATTTTAAATTAATGCATTTAGTTTCTTCATTATTCATAACATTCTTTGTAGGTTTTTGGTATTTAAGTTTTACCAAGTTAAGGATGTTTACTTTTATTCTTTGTTCACTAAGGATTATCATTATAAATAGAATTAAACTATGTTAAATACTTCTTTTTCTGTATTGATTGAGATAAAGCATATGATTATTCTTTTTTGGTCATGTGATGTATTATATTTTCATTTTCTGATGTTGAACTCTCCATGCTTTCCTGTGATAAACTGCACTTGATCAAGATGTATTTTTAAAAATATACTGTTGGATTGATTATTTAGCATTTTTATGTCTACATTTCATAAATGAAATAGCCCTAAACTTGCTTACTTTATAATTGTCTCCATTTAATTTTAGAATCAAGATTAAATTGCCTCATAAAATGGACTGAGTAAACCTTTATTCCTTTTCCAGTGAGTGGAATCAATTGGATAAGGTAGTAGTTAATTATATTTGAAAGTTTAGTAAAATAAACATATAAAATCATCTGGGCCTGAGGGTTTTGTTAGGGAAAATGTTTGACTACCATTGCCATTTTATTTTTCTCTTGGGATTTAAAAACATGTCTGGTAAGTTTTCCAATTTGTTAGCGTATTGTTGATCATAATATACTTATAGTTTTAATTTTTTATGGTTTTCCCTTTTTCATTCTGTACTTTGGTTATTTACATCTTTTCTCTTTTTAGCGAAGATCTATCTTATTACCTTTTGAAAGAATTAAATTCTGGTTTGTTAATCTTTTTCATTCAGGCTGTGTATGTGTATCTATGGAGGAGGATTCTCTGGTTTTAAATTTCTCTCCTTTATCATCTTATTTCTCTGTTCTTTTGCTATTTCCATTGCATTGAGTGTTTAACTAGTTTGTTGTTAACCTTTCTCATTTCATGATAAACTTACTTAATGCTATATATTACTTCTTAGTTGCTTACTGTCTCCTACAAATTTTTACTTGTTGTGTTTTTATTATCATTCACTTGTAAATATTTCTTAGTTGCCTTTTTCTTTTTAACCCAAGGTTAATTTAGTAATAAGCTATTTTGTTTTCAAACGTATGCTAAATTTTGGCTATGATTTTGTTATTAATTTCTAATGCTATTGCATTGGAATTGGAAAACAAACTGCATGATATTGAAACTTGGGAATGTATTGATACTTCACTTACAGCTGTAATCATTGTCTCTTTTTGGAAATCTTTTTTTTTTGTCTTAAATGTTGTATTTGTTGGATATAGAGCTCTATTCTATATATAATAGCTTGAGTTTTTTAGTTTTAATGTGTAAGTGTTCCATATCTTCACTTGATTTCTTTTTTTTGGTCTGCTTGACCTATGAGTTCCTAAGAACAGTATTAAAATATCCACCTGCACTTGTTCTTTTTCTCTTTGCAGTTCTGCTAGTTGCTTGATATATTTTTAGACTGTATTATACAATATGTATATATTTATGATGTATATGTCTTCTTGTCCTATTGCTTTTTGTCATGTAGTTCTCTTTAGTCAGATATTGAGACTTCTACCTCAGCTTTATTTTGGTTCATATTTGCCTATCTTATTGTTATTATTCTATCTTATTATTTTCATTTGTGACTCTAAAGTATATCTCTTCTAGTCTGAATATTGTTGAATCTTTTGTTTCAATCTGTGTCTTTCTTTATATTGGTAAGTATAATTCATATACATTTATTGCAGTTACTTTTATATTGGGACTTCATTCTGACATTTCTTTTTACGCGTTTTATTTATGGCTACTCCCTTTTTCTTTTTTCTTTTCTCCTTTTCTGTTTTATTTTATTCTTGCCCTGTTACTTACGATCTGTCTTCATGTTATTTACCCTTAGTGATTTTTTTTTTTTCTGAGACAGTCTTGCTCTGTCACCCAGGCTGGAGTATAGTGGTGTGGTCTCGGCTCACTGCAGCCTCTGCCTCCTGGGTTCAAGCGATTCTCCTGCCTCAGCCTCCTGAGTAGCTAGGACTACAGGCAAGCACCACCACGCCCAGCTAATTTTTGTATTTTTAGTAAAGACAGGATTTCACCACGTTGGCCAGGATGGTCTCAATCTCCTGACCTCATGATCCACCTGCCTCAGCCTCCCAAAGTGCTGGGCTTCCAGGCGTGAGCCACTGTGTCCCGCCCCTACCCTTACTGATTTTTTACACATACGATAACTACATTCTCTTCCAGCAAGATAAGTACCTTAACAGGCTCTCAGGTTCTATATATTTTTCACTTATACATACCTCATCTTGTAAACTTTGTCTATAATTTTTGTCTTTTCTAGGATACAGGTTATCCTCTTACTTTCATAGTTTTTCCAGGGCTGATTTCAGAAAAGGTTAATACAGATCATACTAGTTTGCCATCTTCACAGGAACTGAAAAGACTCAAGTTTTGTAGCAAATTAACAGCATTTATCTTGCTTTGAATTGCCCCCCACTTCAATCACAGGTGGTGAGTTGGTAACTTAATCAGTATTTTTTCCTCAAATAACAGGTAGAAAACGTGAAATTGCTGGATCGTTATGTGAGTAAGAAACCAGCTAATGGGATTCTTTATCTTACTGCAACCCACCTGATCTATGTGGAGGCTTCTGGTGCAGCCCGGAAAGAAACATGGGTATGTTCATGAGAGGAAATATCAAAGGGTCTTAAAGAGTTGTGTATACATGCTCTCTATATGGTGGTTTCTTGAAATTTCAAGTATAAATTTTAAATTACTATAAAACTTTTTCTTCAAAGGACCTGTGCTAATAATCTTGCTATGGCCTGAATTGTACGACTCCTCTTTCTTCAAGTTATTGGCTGCGGTCATTGTAGTCATTTTATTCTACTTGGGTATATTCCTGAGGTTTAGCTAAATTATTTTTAGGTAGAATAGTTTCTGCTCATTTCCTGAAATAAGTTTGTAAGCATCTTGAAGTAATTTAAAGCCTTGCTACCCATAAAATGTAGTTCAAGAACCAGCAGCATCTGTAGCATATGGGAACTTGATAAAAATGCAGAATCTCAAGCCAAAGATTTTGAATTTCTAAAAAGGGCTTAGGTGATGCTGATGCTAAGGCCTCATGGACTTTACATTGGGCAGCAGTAATTTAGACCACCTCTCTGTCCTAAGACAGGATTTTACCTGAGTATATGTATTTGTGTGCTCACACACACACGTTTGTATGTGTTTCTTTTTACACCTTTAAGGAATGTTTTGTAATTACTTCAGCACCCCAACATTACTTTATGCCTTCCCCATCCTAAAAATCATAATTTAATCTTAAATATTAGTTAGATTTATGCTTAGACCTCTTCATTTATAAGAAGTACAACATGTTTTTTATATATAGCATAGCTTAGTGATTAAAGCTTTAGAGCCATTCTGCTCAGGTTGAAATTCCAGTTTCAATATTTACTACTTTTGTAACCTTGGGCAAGTTGTTTAACTTTTATGTGTCCTGCTGCCTTCATCTGTAAAATAGAGATAAAATAATACCTTGAATTATTTTTAAAAAGTCAACATAGAAGAATTACAAAGTGAATGTTTGTAAGTACTTGCAACAATGCCTGGAACATGGTAAATACTATCATATAAGTATAAAATAAATTGAATTGAGTATGCATATGAAAGAAGTATCTTAATACTTCCTTTTAAAAATGAACTTTCCCCATAGGAGATTGTATCTTGCTCCGTTGGTGTGATGATAAGAATGCCAAAAGAGGAATGAGAACTGGGCTAAAATAAGCTCTGATACTAACTGGCTATGTAACCTTAGTTAATAGATTCTTCCTCTTTGGGCTTGTTTTTTTCATTTGTAAAGTGAGTTGGTTAGATTATATAATTAGTAAGGAATCTTGGAATTCTAACAGTTTAGGAACCAATTCTTTAGTACTGTTCCATGAGCCTATCTCCTATCTACCTACATTTATAGACAGTACACATGTCTCCAGATTTGTTCCTTTTGGGTATTATTTCAAACTCTAGATACAGTGGACTATATCTAGAAGGGAGAACTTACACTTATTTCTGCGTGTCAAAGGAGGCTTATTTACCCAGTTAGGGAAGTTCTTCCTAGCCTTAGTCAGTCCTACCTCCCTCCTACCCTTCCCAGTTTCACCACAATTGTTTGCCTGGGCCCTGATTTCGATTATCAGTATCATACTACCCGAACACACATCTCTCATGTGAATGGAAGATCTTTGATTTTCTTGAGACTGAATAGATTAATTCCTATTACATTTTGTGATACCTCCAGAACTGCTATGGCAGGACTTCAGTTTGACAAAACATTTAAGATGGAAATTAATGAAGTCTGTAATCCCAGCACTTTGGGAGGTTAAGAAAGTAGGATTGCTTGAGGCCAGGAGTTTGAGACCAGCTTGGGCAACAAAGCGATACCTAGTCTCTACAAAAAAAAAAATATTAAAAAATTAGCCAGGCATGGTACCACACAACTGTAGTCCTAGCTTACTCAGGAGGCTGAGGCAGGAGGATCTCCTTTGAGCCTAGGAGGTTGAGGCTACAGTGAGTCACGATCAGGCCACTGCACTCTAGCACAGGCAACAGAGTGAGCCACTACCTTAAAAAAGCAACAAGCCAAAATAGACAAATGAGATCTAATTAAACTTAAGAGTTTCTGCACAGCAAAAGAAACAATCATTAGAGTGAATGGCCAACCATCAGAATGAGAAAATATTTTTGCAATCTACCCATTTGACAAAGGGCTAATATCTAGACTCTACAAAGAACTAAAGCAGATTTACAAGAAAAAAACAAACAACCCATTCAAAGTGGTCAGAGGATATGGACAGACACTTTTCAAAAGAAGACATTTATGAGGCCAACAAACATGAAAAAATGCTTATCATCACTGGTTTTTAGAGAAATGCAATCAAAACCACATTGAAATACCATCTCATGCCAGTTAGAATGGCAATCATTAAAAAGTCTGGAGACAGCAGATGCTGGAGAGGATGTGGAGAAATAGGAACACTTTTACACTGTTGATGGGAGTAGAAATTAGTTCAATCATTCTGGAAGACAGTGTGGTGATTCTCCAAATATCTAGAAATAGAACTACAATTTGACCCAGCAATCCCATTACTGGGTATATACTAGAGGATTATAAATCATTCTGTTACAAAGACACATGCACACGTATGTTCATTGTGGCACTGTTGCAATAACAAAGACTTGGAACCAACCCAAATGCCCATCAATGATAGACTGGACAGAGAAAATGTGACACATATACACCATGGAATACTATGCAGCTATAAAAACGATGAGTTCATGTCTTTTGTAGGGATATGGATAAATCTGAAACTGTCAATCTCAGCAAAGTGACACAGAACAGAAATCCAAACACTGCATGTTCTCTCACTCATAGGTGAATATTGAACAATGATAACACATGGGCACGAGGATGGAACATCATACACTGGGGTATGTTGGGGGGTGGGGGCTGGGGGGGCACAGCGGGTGGTGGGGAGGTTGGGGAGGGATAACATTGGGAGAAATGCCCGATGTAGGTGATGGGGGATGGAGACAGCAAACTACCATGGTATGTGTGTACCTATGCAACAATCCTGCAACATCTGCACATGTACCCCAGAACTTAAAGTACAATAAAAATAAGAAAGAAAATTTATCCTAAGAATATGTTAATTATCTCCACATTTGCTCCATTCTTCGGTTATAGATACCATTGAAAGATTTCATTGAAGAGATGACTTTTCCAAATAAATTAGGGACTAGGGCATTGGGGTGGTGGGAGAGCAGAAAAGGCACTGTTGATTGGAAGACCATTCCAGGCACAGGACAGGGAGTCTCGAGAATGGAAAGAGCACATCCAGGGTCTATAGTTGCAGGAACTATAGAGTTTTTAGAATTCCCAGAGAAGAATCCTGGACTTATGGTTAGACTGCTGTGGTTCAAATTCTGTTTGTGCCACTTCTTGGCTATATGATACCTAATGAGGAATTCACTTCTCAGAGCTTTGTTTTTTTCATTCCTGAAACATGATGATTATACATCAAATGGCTCTTCTTAAATAGCTAATGGTCATGGACTACCTTGTTTATAATAAAGTAGAATACCAGCTATTAATAATTACCTTAATTAGTAGTTGATATAAGCAAAGAAATTCCTACTTTCCTCTGTAACAATTATTCTGTGATTGTTAACTCCATCACAGCGTGCCAGAAGTCATCTATTCTGAACTGATGCACCAAAATTGTTCCACAAACTTGTTAATCTTGTATCCTTAAGGAGAGAGGTTTTCTGACACTGCAGTCTGCTTCTCATTGCTTTACCACTATTATGCTCTATTTCTATTTGAGAGAACCCAAGTTGTATCTTACAAAGAATGATTGTAGGCTATAGATGTAGCCTACAGATCTGGTCATAGCGTATCATTACTGAGAGTCAGGAATACTGATAGTGATAGAGATATTGCACATCTGTATGTTTATACTGGTTCTTTTATGTTTTTCAGATTGCACTCCACCACATTGCTACTGTGGAGAAGTTACCCATCACTAGCCTGGGCTGTCCCCTAACACTCCGCTGCAAGAACTTCCGGGTGGCTCATTTTGTCTTAGACTCTGACCTTGTGTGCCATGAGGTTTATATTTCACTACTCAAGCTTTCTCAGCCAGGTAGTTTTGATAGTATTTTATCTAAAACCATTTTAGTATTTTTCCAAAATGGCGTAATAGAAAGATCAGGGTTATGGAGTTAGAGCAGGGTTTGGATCTGGGCTCTACCACTTACAAGCTCCATGATATTTGAGAAAGTTATAGAACCTCTGAACTCATTTTCTTTACCTGTAAAAGTCAGGAGAGTAAAAGCTCTCCAAGGGGGTTGTTTTGAGCCTTGAATACCTTCATGTATTAGTATATAGTAGATGTTTAATAGATATTTTCTTCTCTCTCCCTCCCTCCTTTTAAGTATCAACTTATGAATTTTTCCGCAGTTCAGGAATAAAGATTGCTTTGGAACGAAATTTGTTTCTTGTTGTCCTGCAGGCTGTTTGACCCACAGTTTCCACCCCTGCTTTCAATTCCAACTAGAAGACTAAGGCAGTTCATCAGAGTCCTCACTAATGTAGGATTTAATGCTTCCTCCAGCCCACATCCTTAGGCTATTAACCATCAGCTTCCCCTGATTTTAGTCTTTGATTTGAATCAGGCTCTGACATTTTCTCTCCCATTTTCCCCCTTTGCCCAGAATAATTCCTCAATATTTGCTGATTTTTAGTGACAAAATTACCTGCTGAATGGCTCAGCATTTTATGTCTCTGATAGGCTCCATTCATCTCTGGAGAAGTTGTTGTCACATATATCGGTCAAATGAGTTATTTGATTGCATGCTGTATCTTGTGAAGGGAAGAAGCAGGACTGACAGAGAAAAGAGAGGAAGTGGTTATTTGTAAGTCAGAAGTTGCTGTTGGCCTGAGAAGTAGAATACAAAAGCATTGTTAAAGTTGTGCAACATGTTACAATAAGCAGTGCTATTGGGACATGGGAGCCCAGTTAAAAACTTTTGGTAAGGACTCCTTCCCTAACATGTGAAACCCTGAGCCTCAGTTCAGTCAATTATCCAGCATTCTTTGTTATAGGAAGCCAGGCAGAAAGATCCCACTTTGTGTTGATACCACAAAAAATTAAAACTTGTTTTTAAAAAGAAGAACCCAAACAATACTTTAGGTTTTAATTCCTTACATAAAGGCAAACTTGCACACACCACAGTCCTTTTCTAGGGCTCTCTTGACAAAACATTCCCTTTGGGAAAAGGAAATCTAGCCTTTATTTGCATTGTTTGATGATCTTTAGGTTTCATTCATCGTTTTGTTCCCCACGCCTATCTCTCCTCTCCAGCATTACCTGAAGATCTTTATGCTTTTTCTTACAACCCCAAATTCTCGAAAGAGATGAGGGAAAGTGGATGGAGACTGATTGACCCAATATCAGACTTTGGGCGTATGGGAATACCCAACAGATACTGGACTATAACAGATGCCAACAGAAACTATGAGGTAATTTTGTCTTTGTTGTTTTCCTTTTGGTGCATTTAATTAAAATGGCAGAATATCAGAAAACAAGATTTGGAAAAAGAGAAATCACTCATAATCTCTTTCTCCTTTTCATTCAACATTCCGCCATTCAACAAACATTTATTGAGTATCTACTGTGCAGTAGGTACCAAGTAAGAGATTTCATGGCCTAAAGCATAGGATTCTATGGGAGCATAGGTGCAGGACATGAAAATCAGTCTAGTAAGCCAGAAACAGCTTGATGCTTTGGAGAATAGCCTTGTGAAGACTAATTTACTTTAAGCATTTAAAAAATTTTTAAATATTATGAATACATGATAGTTGTACATATTTGTAGGGTACATGTGATATTTTTATACAAACATACAATATGTAACGATCAGATCAGGGTAATTGAGGCATTCATCACCACAAGCATTTATCATTTGTGTTAGGAACATTCCAATTCCATTTTCAGTTATTTTATTATTATTATCTCTAGTCATCCTGTTGTGCTACTGAATACTAGATCTTATTCCATCTATCTAACTCTATTTTTGTACCCGTTGAGGATCTTCTCTTTACTCCCCAACTCCACTACCCTTACCAATCTTTGGTAACCATCATTCTGCTATCTCCATGAGTTCTTTTTTATTAGCTCCTACAACATGTGAGTGAGATTATGCAATATTTATCTTTCTATGCTTTGCTTATTTCACTTAATATAATGTCCTCCAGTTCATCCATGTTGTTCCAAATGACAGGATTACATTTTTTTATGGATGAATAATATCCATTGTGCAGATAGACCACATTTTCCTTTTCTTTCCTTTCTGTTTTTTTGAGACAAGGCCTTGCTCTGTTGCCCAGGGTGGAGTGTAGTGGCATGATCACAACTCACTGTAGCCTCAATCTCCTGGGCTCAAGTGGTCTTCCCATCTCAGCCTCTCATGTAGATGGGAGCACAAGCACCCTCCACCATGCCTGGTGAATTTGTTTCATTTTTTTATAGAGATGGTGGTCTTGAACTCCCAGGCTCAAGCAATCCTCCCTCCTTGGCCTCTCAAAGTGCTGGGATTATAGGAATGAACCACTACTCCCAGTCAATAGTGGCTGTACTAATTTACATTCCCACCAATTGTGTATGAAAATTCCCTTTTCTCTATAACCTCACTAGTATCCATTATTGCCTTTTTGATAAAAGCCATTTAATGGGTGAGATAATATCTCATTGTAGTTTTGGTTTGCATCTCTCTGATGATTATCGATGTTGAGCATTTTTTCATGTACTGGTTGGTCTTTTGAGAACTGTCTTTAAATCTTTTATCTATATTTAATTGAATTATTTGTTTTTATTCTATTGAGTTGCTTGGGCTCCTTATATTTTCTGGTTGTTAATCCATTGTCAGATGGGTAATCTGCAGATATTTTCTCCTATTCTGTAGGTTGTCTTTTCACATTGTTGGTTGTTTCCTGTGCCATGGAGAGTTTTAGCTCAGTGTTACCCACTTGTCCATTTTTTCTTTGGTTGGTTGCATGTGCTTTTGAGGTCTTACTTGAGAAGTCTTTGCCCAGACCAACATCCTGAAGTGTTTCTCCATTGTTTCTTCTGCATATGGACGTCCAATTTTCCCAGAACTATTTATTGAAGAGAGTCCTTCCCCTAAATATTTGTTCTTGGTGCCTTTGTTGAAAATGACTGAACTGTAAATGTATGGATTATTTTTGAGTTTCTCTCCTAATTTATACAGGAGGAGAGGGAAAGAGGTCAGCAAGTGAGGCCTTATCATGAAGACAGTTGAGAGCAACAAGAGTATTTACACTTGGAAGTAACGTGTATATTTGTGTTTTAGAAAGATAACTCTTATTAGTGTGGAGAATTTGTTTTCTGGAGCAAAGAGTGCAGGAGAATGATATGTGAAGTTATGAGAACCTGAACTAAGGTAATGGCTGCAAATGGAGAGAAGGAGATGGTTTTAAAATATATTTACATGGTAGAGTTGAAAGCAGCTGGTGACAGATCAAATGTGCCTAGAAAAGTAGAGGAGTTTACTATGCATCCCAGCTTTCCTGGTTTCTGGCATTGATGACCTATGAGTAGTAGTGATGTTGACAAAGATAAGGACCACAAGAAGAAGGACAGATGGTATCTTCAATTTTACACTTGACTTCAAAGTGATTAAACAGATAACAATAATTTGATTTCAAGCATTTGGGTCTGGATCTCAAGAAAGAGCTTTGGGCCAAATGTGGACCTCTAAGAATGTGTTGCAGGTCCCAAAGACTGTTCCTCAAGTTTTGTGATTTACTAGGAGAATTCATAGGACTCAATGTATAGTCATATTTAAGATTATGATTTATTATAGTGAAAGGATATGAAGCAAAAATCAGCAAAGGGAAAAGGTTCAGGGTACAAAGTTGAGAAAACCAGGAACAAGCTTCCAGAGTCCTCTCTCAGTAGGACACGCTGAATTCCTCTAGCAACAAATTGCGGCAACACTTATGAAATGCTGTCTACCAGGAAGCTCATTAGAGACAAAGTGCTCAGGGCTTCTGTTGGGGCCTGCCCACATAGGCACGTTCTGCCTAGTATGTGCCAGAATTCCAGATCCCCAGAGGAAAGCAGGTATGCAGGATAAGCCACATTGTTTGCACAGTTTAAGTACAATGCAAGTAGGCCATTCTAACAGTAGTGTGATGGTTAATATTGTCAACTCGATTGGACTGAAGTATTGTTTCTGGGTGTGTATGTGAGAATATTACTAGAGGGGAGATTAACATTTGAGTCAGTGGACTGGGAGAGGCAGACCCACCCTTAATCTGGGGGGGCACCATCTCCTTGGCTGCCAGTGCAGCTAGAAAAAGCAGGCAGAAGAAAGTGGAATCAGCAGACTTGCTGAATCTTCGGATCTTCATCCTTCTCCCGTTCTAAATGCTTCCTGCCCTCGAACATCAGACTTCAAGTACTTCGGCTTTTGGATTCTTGGACTTACACTAGTTAGTGGTTTGCCAGGGGCTCTTGGGCCTTCGGCCACAAACTGAAGGCTTCACTATCGGCTTCCCTACTTTTGAGGTTTTGGGACTCCAACTGATCCACTACTGGCTTTCTTGCTCTTCAACTTGCAGATGGCCTATTGTGGGACTTTACCTTGTGATCGTGTGAGTCAATTCTCCTTAATAAACTCCCTTTCATATATACATATATCCTAGTAGTCCTGTCCCTCTAGAGAACGCTGACTAATACAGGTAGCCATCAGGCTGCTATGATAATTTTTCTGCAGAGAGAGTCATTGGTGTTTAAGTGATATTCCTGAATTGTTGATCTTTATTTCCAGCTTTTTTACTATCATAGTAAGACTGTGATTGCAATGACTTTCTGGTAACATAGCTTTGAATGTCTACTAGATATGGGACTTGATGAGCTGTGACTTTGCAGTGTCATCTGTGAGGTGGCTTGTTAGGGTCATGTTAGAGAGCAATGAGTAGAGATTGGGGGTAATATCTGTGCACCTCAAATGTGTGTCTGAGTCTCCCAAATAAGGTCTAAAATATTCTTGGTCTTTTTGATGTATATAACCTTCTGAGCTCAATTGGGGGCTCCATTTATTTTTCCTTGTATGGCTGTCTTCTCCAAAGTTTAAGTCCAGGTAAAGGGGATGGGTATAAAACATTTTCTATGTTTTTGCATTCTGGGGACATTGACTTTAATGAGTTACATAGAGCATTCTTGATCTGATCTACCTTTAACTTTTTTTTTTTTGCCTGTTCAGTTTATATTTGTTTCATCTGTTGTTAAATATTTGGGGTTGTTCTTAGGGGAGTGATTAGAATTAATTTTGCAATGTCAGGTCTGTGGTGTTATAATATTTTATCATTGTCTCTTTGGAAATACGTATTTTGGTAATTACTAAAGTCTGATAAACTTGAGAAAATACATCAATCTTTTCGTAGAGTTAAGTTACACCTAAAATGTCAACACCACTAGCAGACTAGCATTTTAAGGGCCCTCCAGATACGAATACTAGGAAACTAGTATGCAGTTTATGAAAGAGTATATATCATATTTCCTCCTCCTCTACCTATCTGCTTCATATTTGAGTCTGTTCATATTAATTTCCTTGTTTACAGTCTATATTGTTTGCTCCAATAGGCACATGTAGGTATTTCAAGGTGGGGTTGTATGTGTGTTTCTGGCTATGATTTTACTTATTCTAATTCTAAAAGTACATTCATTTTGTTCTTGTATGTCTCAGTCCTTTCCTTTCTAGAAAATAATAGCATACTTGGAAAAACTTTTATAACAAGGATATTTTCATTTCTATTTCTGAGGAATAGATGATTAAATATCAGGTAGCTAACGCTTTAGTGATTGCTAATTCCAGCCTGTTGCTAGCAAGGGAAAATTTGTATATGTATAAAATGTAAAATATATCTATAATTTAAACATATATATATATATATATTGTGCTTATTTTCTTTTAGATATGTAGCACCTACCCTCGTGAAATAGTGGTTCCTAAATATGTTACCTTGGGAATGGTGGTTGGAAGTTCAAAATTCAGAAGTAAAGAACGTGTCCCTGTGCTCTCCTACCTCTGCAAAGAGAACAGTGTAAGTCAAGCAGATTTCTCTAAGGATAATTAAACTTGGCTCTGGAAGACCTGTTTTAAGTCTCATGCTGCCACTTAGTGGCTGTGTGACCTCAAGTTATTTAACTTCTCTGGACTTTTGTACTTCTGTAAGTTTTTGAGAGGATCTCAGGAGGGAATAATATATGTGTACCTTGTAAATTGCAAAATGTTATGCAGATGTTAAGTGGTATTTTAGTGTGATCATTTGTTTTTCTTTCTTTTTTTTGTCTTTTCTGTGGGTTCCAACTTGGTGGGAAGCTATGAAATGAAAGGAAATTAGTTGTATGGCAGGAGTTTTCTGTGACTGTGGCTGGCCTCCCAGTAGAATACAGATATCCTTGATACTTTCTTACTGCTTTTCATATAATTTCAGGTAGTAGTAAGAAAGCACTTGACATAAGTAAGGGGATTGTGTTACCTATTGTAATCACTCCAAGATTTTGGGTTAGACAAATAGTCAAGTTGTCAGGTGGGCAGCAATTCAAATGCTAAAGAGTATAGTAATGCAACTGGGTGTCATGCTATTGAAATGAGTAGACCCCTTAAAAACTACGTCAGAGGAGGACTCAAGATGGCGCTGTGAGAACAACCCAGGATTGGAGCTCGCGTTGAATCCGCAAACAGTGAGTCAGAGCTGCATTTACAGACTGATCTTTGTTGCCCACAGAACGGGGAAACTCCCAAGTATAAAAAGACACGGGACGCCAGGCAGTAGGTCTGCCTGGTGAAGCCGGCAGCCGGGGCGGCGGCGGCCGGCCCTACCCAGCAATCCCCACAGGGCATGCTTGTCCGGGTGCCCTGTTGAACCGGCAACCTGAGACTTCAGAGGGCTGGACTTGAGACTGAACAAGACTTGGACAGTAGCCCAGCCCAGGGGATTGCAGGGACAGATCGTTTGGGATACCCAGTGGGACGAACAAAACCGCGATTTCAAACTATCCCGAGCAGACGGTCCGAGACGCTCTGTGGGGGAGGGGCGTCCAGCACTACCGAGGCAACCCACCCCAACTGAGATACACGCCCACTGCTGACACAGCCAGCCGTTGCCGAGGCAACCCGCCCCAACTGAGATACACGCCCACTGCTGATGCAGCCAGCTGTTGCCGAGGCAACACGCTACAACGAAGAGACTCCGCGGCAGGGCGTGGCGGAGACCACAGCAGAGCCTACAGGAACAGGGCGAATCACACAACAGCAGGGCAGAGCCTCGGCAGCCAAACAGTGGCTAGTCTGCCTTCTAGCTGGGCAGGACACCTCATTGAACATCCAAAAATAAAGCCCAAACCCCTCAACACAGAGCATTTGAGATAAAAAAAAAAGGGTTTTTTTAATGAGCTCTGTTGCAGCGGAATCAAACATAGCAGCCTAACAGCCCTGAATGAACAACAGATCGCACAGCTCAGCAATTAAGCCCGTATAAAGTACAAACAGTCTCCTCAAGCAGCTCCCTGACCCCTCTATATCCAAAAGACTGACATTAGGCAGGCATCATCCTGGGACAAAGATAGCAGAAAAAGAAACTGGTAGCATCCCTCGCTGTCCCACAGCTGCTAGAGGTGCACCCCAGACAAGCAGGGTCTGGAGCGGACCTCAGCAGTCGTACAGCAAAGGGGCTAGACTGGTAGAAGGAAAACCAAGCAACAGAAATACTTCATCATCAACATTCCAGGTGTCCACTCAGAGACCCAATCGAAAAGTCAGCAACTACGCAAACGAACAGCGGACAAATCCACAAAGATGGGAAGAAACCAGCGCAAAAAGGAGGAAAACACCCGAAACCAGAACACCTCGCCTCCTAGAAAGGACCAAAACTCCTCACCAGCAAGGGAACAAAGCTGGACGGACAATGACTGTGACGAAATGACGGAATTAGACTTCAGAAGATGGATAATGAGAAACTTTTGTGAGCTAAAAGATCATGTATTAAATCAATGCAAAGAAACTAAGAACCTTGAAAAAAGATTTGAAAAAAGATTCGAGGAAATGATAACAAGAATGGATACCTTAGAGAGGAATATGAATGAATTAAAGGAGCTGAAAAACACAATACGAGAACTTCGCGAAGCAAACACAAGTTTCAATAGCCGAATTGACCAAGCAGAAGAAAGAATATCTGAAGTCGAAGACCAACTCAATGAAATAAAACGAGAAACCAAGATCAGAGAAAAAAGCGCAAAAAGGAATGAGCAAAGTCTCCAAGAAATGTGGGACTATGTGAAAAGACCTAACCTACGTTTGATAGGTGTACCAGAAGGGGACGAAGAGAATGAATCCAATCTGGAAAATACTCTTCAGGACATCATCCAGGAAAATTTCCCCCACCTAGCAAGACAGGCCAACACTCAATTGCAGGAAATACAGAGAACACCACAAAGATATTCCGCAAGAAGAGCAACCCCAAGGCACATAATTGTCAGATTCAACAGGGTTGAAATAAAGGAGAGAATACTAAGGGCAGCCAGAGAGAAAGGTTGGGTCACCCACAAAGGGAAGCCCATCAGACTCACAGCAGATCTCTCGGCAGAAACACTACAAGCCAGAAGAGAGTGGGGACCAATATTCAACATTCTTAAAGAAAGGAACTTTCAACCCAGAATTTCATATCCAGCCAAACTGAGCTTCATAAGTGAAGGAAAAATAAAATCCTTTGCGAACAAGCAAGTACTCAGAGATTTTGTCACCACCAGGCCTGCTTTACAAGAGCTCCTAAAAGAGGCACTACACATAGAAAGGATCAACCAGTACCAGCCATTCCAAAATCACACTGAATGCTAAAGAGCTTCAACATAATGAAGAATCTACAACAACTAACAGGCAAAACAGCCACTTAGCATCAAAATGGCAGTATCAAATTCACACATAACAATATTAACCCTAAATGTAAATGGACTAAATGCACCAATCAAAAGACACAGACTGGAAAATTGGATAAAAATCCAAAACCCATCAGTGTGCTGTATCCAGGAAACCCATCTCACATGCAAGGATACACAAAGGCTCAAAATAAAGGGATGGAGGAATATTTACCAAGCTAATGGAAAGCAAAAAAAAAGCAGGAGTTGCAATTCTCATCTCTGATGAAATAGACTTTAAAGCAACAAAGATCAAAAGAGACAAAGAAGGCCATTACATAATGGTAAAAGGATCAATACAACAAGAAGAGGTAATGATCCTAAACATATATGGATCCAATGCAGGAGCACCCAGATACATAAGGCAAGTTCTTAATGACTTACAAAAGGACTTAGACTCCCACAGAATAATAGTGGGAGGCTTTAACACTCCACTGTCAATACTAGACAGATCAACCAGACAGAAAATCAACAAGGATATCCAGGGCTTGAACTCAGACCAGGAGCAAGCAAACCTGATAGACATTTACAGAACTCTCCACCCCAAATCCACAGAATACACATTCTTCTCAGCACCACATCACACCTACTCTAAAATTGACCACATAATTGGAAGTAAAGCACTGCTCAACAAATGCAAAACAACTGAAATCATAACAAACAGCCTCTCAGACCATAGTGCAATCAAGTTAGGACTCAGAATTCAGAAACCGACCCAGAACCACACAGCTTCATGGAAACTGAACAACTGGCTCTTGAATGTTGACTGGGTAAACAACGAAATGAAGGCAGAAATAAAGAAGTTCTTCGAAACCAATGAGAACGAAGACACAACGTGCCAGAACCTCTGGGAAACATTTAAAGCAGTCTCTAGAGGAAAGTATATAGCAATAAGTGCCCATATGAGGAGAATGGAGAGATCCAAAATTGACACCCTATTGTCAAAATTGAAAGAGCTAGAGGAGCAAGATAAAAAAAACTCAAAACCCAGCAGAAGACAAGAAATAACTAAGATCAGAGCTGAACTGAAGGAGATTGAGACACAAAAAACCCTTCAAAAAATCAATAAATCCAAGAGCTGGTTTTTTGAAAAGATCAACAAAATAGACAGACCACTAGCCAGATTGATTAAAAAGAAAAGAGAGAACAACCAAATAGATGCAATAAAAAATGATAAAGGGGAAATCACCACAGATTCCACAGAAATTCAAACCATCATCAGAGAATATTACAAACAACTCTATGCGCAAAAACTAGTAAACCTGGAAGAAATGGATAAATTCCTGGACTCCTGTGTCCTCCCAAGCCTAAACCAGGAGGAAGCTGAAACTATGAATAGACCAATAACAAGGTCTGAAGTTGAGGCAGCAATTAAGAGCCTACCACACAAAAAAAGCCCAGGTCCAGACGGGTTCACAGCCGAATTCTACCAGACACACAAGGAGGAGCTGGTACCATTCCTTCTAAAACTATTTCAAACAATCCAAAAAGAGGGAATCCTTCCCAAATCATTTTATGAGACCAACATCATCCTGATACCAAAACCCGGCAGAGACCCAACGAGAAAAGAAAACTTCAGGCCAATATCCATGATGAACATAGATGCAAAAATCTTCAATAAAATATTGGCAAGCCGATTGCAACAGCAAATCAGAAAACTTATTTATCATGATCAAGTAGGATTCATCCCAGGGATGCAAGGCTGGTTCAACATATGCAAGTCTATCAACATAATTCACCACATAAACAGAACCAAAAACAAAAACCACATGATTATCTCAATTGACGCAGAGAAGGCATCTGACAAAATTCAACAGCCCTTTATGCTAAAAACCCTCAATAAACTCGGTATCGATGGAACGTATCTCAAAGTAATAAAAGCTATTTATGACAAACCAACAGCCAATATCATACTGAATGGGCAAAAACTGGAAGCATTCCCTTTAAAATCTGGCACTAGACAAGGATGCCCTCTCTCACCACTCCTATTCAATATAGTACTGGAAGTTCTAGCCAGAGCAATCAGGCAAGAAAAAGAAATAAAGGGTATTCAAATAGGAAAGGTGGAAGCCAAATTGTCTCTATTTGCAGACGACATGATAGTATACCTAGAGGACCCCATCGCCTCAGCCCAAAAACTTCTGAAACTGATAAGCAACTTCAGCAAAGTCTCAGGATATAAAATCAATGTGCAAAAATCACAAGCATTCGTCTACACCAATAACAGACTTAAAGAAAGCCAAATCAAGAGCGAACTGCCATTCACAATTGCTACAGAAAGAATAAAATACCTTGGAATACAACTCACAAGGAACGTAAGGGACCTCTTCAAGGAGAACTACAAACCACTGCTCAACAAAATCAGAGAGGACACAAACAGATGGAGAAACATTCCATGTTCATGGTTAGGAAGAATTAACATCGTGAAAATGGCTATACTGCCCAAAGTAATTTACAGGATCAACGCTATCCCCATCAAGCTACCATTGACTTTCTTCACAGAACTGGAAAAAACCACCATGAACTTCATATGGAACCAAAAGAGAGCCCACATAGCCAAGTAAATTCTAAGCAAAAAGAACACAGCGGGGGGCATCACACTACCGGATTTCAAACTATACTACAAGGCTACAGTAATCAAAACAGCATGGTACTGGTACCAAAACAGAGATATAGACCAATGGAACAAAACAGAGGCACCGGAGGCAACACAACATATATACAACTATACAATCTTTGATAAACCTGACAAAAACAAGCAATGGGGAAAGGATTCCATGTTTAACAAATGGTGTTGGGAAAACTGGCTAGCCATGTGCAGAAAGCAGAAACTGGACCCCTTCCTGACACCTTACACTAAAATTAACTCCAGATGGATTAAAGACTTAAACATAAGACCTGGCACCATAAAAACCCTAGAAGGAAATCTAGGCAAAACCATCCAGGACATAGGAGTAGGCAAGGACTTCATGAACAAAACACCAAAAGCATTGACAACAAAAGCCAAAATAGACAAATGGGACCTAATGAAACTCCACAGCTTCTGCACGGCAAAAGAAACAGTCACTAGAGTGGATCGGCAACCAAGAGAATGGGAAAAAATTTTCGCAGTCTACCCATCTGACAAAGGGCTGATATCCAGAATTTACAAAGAAATCAAACAGATTTACAGGAAAAAAACAAACAAGCCCATTCAAAAGTGGGCAAAGGATATGAACAGATACTTTACGAAAGAAGACATATATGAGGCCAACAATCATATGAAAAAATGCTCATCGTCACTGGTCATCAGAGAGATGCAAATCAAAACCACATTGAGATACCATCTCACGCCAGTTAGAATGGCGATCATTAAAAAATCTGGAGACAACAGATGCTGGAGAGGATGTGTAGAAAAAGGAACACTTTTACACTGTTGGTGGGAGTGTAAATTAGTTCAACCATTGTGGAAGACAGTGTGGCGATTCCTCAAGGCCTTAGAAATAGAAATTCCATTTGACCCAGCAATCCCATTACTGGGTATATATCCAAAAGACTATAAATCGTTCTACTATAAGGACACATGTACACAAATGTTCATTGCAGCCCTGTTTACAATAGCAAAGACCTGGAATCAACCCAAATGCCCATTGATAATAGACTGGATTGGAAAAATGTGGCACATATACACCATGGAATATTATGCAGCAATCAGAAATGATGAGTTTGTGTCGTTTGTAGGGACATGGATGAATCTGGAGAACGTCATCCTCAGCAAACTGACACAAGAACAGAAAATGAAACACTGCATATTCTCACTCATAGGTGGGTGATGAAAAATGAGAACACATGGACACAGAAAGGGGAGTACTAAACAGTGGGGTCTATTGGGGGGAAACGTGGAGGGCCAGTGGGAGGGGGAGGTAGGGAGGGATAGCCTGGGGAGAAATGCCAAATGTGGGTGAAGGGGAGAAGAAAAGCAAAGCATACTGCCATGTGTGTACCTACGCAACTGTCTTGCATGCTCTGCTCATGTACCCCAAAACCGAAAATCCAATAAAAAATTTATAAAAAAAAAAAGAAAAACAAACAAACAAAAAAACTACATCAAAGTGTTTTAACTAATTATTACCAGATATGCGTGTTAAATAGGCACCTTGTTTTTGTGTTAAAATGGCTTCAGACAAACCAGCCTTCTGATTTGGCATTAACTCCTGAAACTAGTGAACCCAGTTCTCTTAAGGCACTATAGATCTTTGCTGTATCTTGAACTCTGCTGCCTCTGCAACCTTATGGTTATGTGGACAATATTACTGGGACTGTAAAAAGTGAAGCAGTTTTAGAAAAATAACTAGCCCATTATGTATTGAGAATAGAATTTCATTAAGGAAATATTCAACATGTGGTTTTTTTTTTTTTGGTAGTCTGATTTGCCAAGATTGGGTTGGAAATTAGAGCCACATGCCCGGGGTTGGCAGGAGGTTAAGCCCAATGTCAGTGAAGAATAGCTTTAGAGCCTCATTTCTGTTTGCTTTGGACACTATCTTAAGTTTGCTCATCCTCTCCCTCAACTCATGCAACCTGGCTAGGGTGAAGGAAGATTTTTGACCTTTTGTGAATATAATCACTCAACTGACACACCTTTTCCTTACAGGCTGCCATTTGCCGCTGTAGCCAGCCTCTCTCTGGATTTTACACTCGCTGTGTAGATGATGAGCTCTTGTTGGAGGCCATTAGCCAAACGAACCCAGGGAGCCAGTTTATGTATGTTGTAGATACAAGACCAAAGGTATCTATCTCTCAGTGACTTCTTTAATATTTCTACCTCTTGCAGTCTTCCTCCTCATATATTGAGACATTCAGTGTTACTGGTAAAGTTAGGTTTGTATATGTGTATTTATTATATCAGATAATGTAAAATTATTTGAGGAAGCAATTTGGAGCTCCTTTTATAAGGTTGTCACTGTCAACTGAGGTTATGAGAGGGTATTTCAAACAACCTGGCTTTGCCACCTCAATGTGACATCCTGCATAGAGGCTCATTAACATCCCTCATCTTTTTTTTTTTTTTTTTTTTTTTTTACCAAGTCTGTTCCTTAACCAGAATGTAAAGTATTCCCATTCTGTGGTCTAAAAACTTACTACTGCCAACATGTTTTTTTTTTTTCTTTAAATGTGTTAGGCCACAGTAAGTTTATAATACTTTAGTTCTCCCAAAGCAGCAGGGTTCACAGATTTTACTGACGTACTATTAACAAAAAATCTCTAGCTCATGTGGCAGTAATTCTTTTTTAGCATGTAGCACTGTTAGCTGATAATTTTTTTTTCCAGTTTAGTACAGTGCAGTTTAAATCTTGGTCCCAGAGAACAAAGAAGACCACGTTCTTAAATTTGCTCTAGATTTTGGCAGTGGACATGGATAGACCTAGTGAAATCCTTTGATCTTTCCAAGAGTCTAATACTGCATGATTTGTTGCAGTGTGTTTTCTCAGGCTTTGTCTCTTTCAAATGTGAACGTTGCTAAACAGAGTGTCATCATATTAACCCAAGTATCAGCTTAAACTCCTCTCTGCATTAATTCCTTAACCTTCAACATTTTGTCCAGCTTTATAAGAGATATAGAAGAATTCACTGTGTCCTACAAAGGAAGTGAAGGATACATTCCATATTCTTAAATGTTGTCCTTTTTACCAACAGCCCCAGAGAGAAATAATTTTGCTTATAATTTGGTATGTAAAGTGTGGCTGACTAAAAGGTTTCATTGCTGATTCTAGTGATTACTAAATTGGTGATTTTCATCTAAGCCTAAGCCAGATGGTTGTGACTTCAGAGTTGAGCAATTGGATATACATGAAATCAGATAGTTCCCTTAGACAGCTTTCTGCCCCATCTTTGTGATCCCTCAGTGACTGTTCTCCAGAGCTACCTAGGACTGACTGGGCTCAGGAGAGAAAATAATTTCCCTTTCTGCTCAGGTACCATCCTTCAGTTTTTCAGAAGCTTGCTGTCTTGCTTCAACCATAACAACTGCCTCTGACATTCTGAGATTGGAAAGAGTTTAATTGAGTCTGTAACTTTAAAGATTAAATAATCTTAAAATAGTAAAGAGAAATACACCAAACTTTTGAAAAAACAAGAGTTGGTACCTTTTGTTCAAATCCAACACCAAAAAGCCATTTTTGATGGGTTCCATTTTCCTCTCTCCAATTTGAGCAAATTAAGACAGGCCTAGAAATATCCGGCAGTCCCCCTCTTCTGGATGGCTAGATATGTACTTTTAGTAGGAACTATATTATACTGACAAAATTTTGTTCTAGGAGTCAGTCAAATCTATGGTCAAATGCTGCTTTCAGCCCTTATCCATATCATCTTGGGCAAATTGGTTCAACTCTCTGAGCCTGTTTTCTTATGGGGATAATAATAGTACCCACTTTTAGGGGCTGTAATGAGGATTGAGATTATGTAAAGGATTTAGCACAGTGTCATGCATATACTAGGAGCTCAATAAATAATACATCTCTTTGCCACCTGAACATCAAATAGGTAGCTCTTATCTGCATTAGTTGGCCTACCCAGACCTGGGTAGTGACTACTGTAATTATTATTATTATTGTCTTATATCTTATTTCAGTATTCCCATTCTGTGGTCTAAAAACTTACTACTGCCAACATGTTTTTTTTTCTGTAAATGTGTTAGGCCACAGTAAGTTTATAATACTTTAGTTCTCCCAAAGCAGCAGGGTTTACAAATCTTACTGCTATACTGTTAACAAAAAATCTTTAGCTCATGTGGCAGTAATTCTTTTTTTAGCATCTAGCACGGTTAGCTGATTTTTTTTTCCAGTTTAGTACAGTAAACTTTAAATCTTGGTCCCAGAGAATAAAAAAGACCTTTTAGCTCTTATCCATATCATCTTGGGCAAATTGGTTCATCTCTCTGAGCCTGTTTTTTTTTTTCTGAATGATAACTCATAGCAAACTTCCTTGCTACTAGGTGGCTGTTACTTATGCTTCCACAGGTGTTCCTTTGACTTTTATCATTAATTTAGTGAAAGCTCAGTGGTACTATCAATGTGATGAAAGATCAAAATTACCATCACATTTCCCCCTTTAAAAATGTCTTGTATTGTAAATTTAGCATGTTTAGCACATTGACTTTTTTCCTTCTGCATCTTCTAACTTGAATAGTTTGTCCTTTGAGGTTTTTGTATTCTTTTAATACAAAAATTATACCCTGTCCACATACATGTGCTTCCTGCCTTCTGAAATGCACAATATTGGGAGATGACAAAATAGGCCCAAATAACAGAAAATCACTTAATTAGTAAGATGGTCATTATCATAGATATTATTATAGTAATTATCATTGGCTGCCTTCTAGTTATTATATTCATATCTCCACAAGTCTCATTTACTCCCTACTCTACCCAGCATTCTTCATATGACCTAGAGATTCTCTGATTCCCACAAACTGAACATAGTATTAAAACAACTGGTGGTGTCTCCATTTCAATTTTGTCAGTGAGTAAATGTCATTTATCTCATGCAGTCACATTTTAGGCATTTTTCTAGAATAGCTATTTAAAACTAATTGGGCTGTATGTGGTGGCTTATGGCTATAATCCCAGCACTTTGTGAGGCCAAGACAAGAGGATTACATGAGTCCAGGAGTTCAAGGCCAGCCTGGGGAACAGAGAGACTTCATCCTTACAAAAGAAACTTTTTTTTTTTAAATTAGGCGTGGTGATGCATGCCTGTAGTCTTAGTTGTTCAGGAGGCTGAGGCAGAAGGATTGCTTGAGCCCAGGAGTTCGAGGCTGCAGTTAACTCTGTGATTGTGCTGCTGCACTCCAGCCTTAATGACAGAGTGAGACTCTGTCTCTTAAATAAATGAAATTAATTGGTTTTAAAGTCCTTAGGCTTCTTTCTAGAGCTTCTCAGTTATAAATATTTTTGAACTTTTGCATGTTTCTCAGTATAAAACCCTTTCAGCTGAGAAAACATTTGTAGTAGGCAGCCCAAAATTATTATTTCAGTTTTTCAGATCAGATATACTCATAGCTGCCATGTCCTTGATCTCTTAAGCAAGGTTTTCATAATGAAACAAAACTCTGTATCTCCTTATTTTTCCACTATACGAGTCTGTTACTAAAGGTACTTGATGTAAAAACTAGTGAAATTCTCTCCATTCCAGAGTGTACCTTGTCTGATTTAACTTCTTTTTAATTGGGTAGGATTTTAAACTGTTCAGAATGAGGCATTGAAATTGATGAACTCCATTTTTTAATCATCTGGCCTATCTGCTCTATTATGTCTTCCACCATTGCAGTTGAATGCCATGGCCAACCGAGCAGCTGGGAAAGGGTATGAAAATGAAGACAACTATGCCAACATTCGCTTCAGATTCATGGGCATTGAGAACATCCATGTGATGCGGAGCAGTCTGCAGAAACTTTTGGAAGGTACAGAGATTTCGCCTTGGCTAGGCAAGAAGCCTTACATAGCTTTGCATTATTATGTAAGTAGAAAGCATGCCTGATTTGGGGTGAAATATAAAAGCAAGAAGGTGAACAGAGTCAATAAGTGGCTAAGCGTTTAACTATAGTATGAATCTAGCTTACATAGTACTAAATTATAGCAGTGTTGGTCTGGAAAAGGGACTAAGATGTTCAGTTTCATAATTCGATAAAGTTCATCTGGGTCTAGTGGGTATGAAAATTATTTCTCTCTATGGAATTACAGAGGTTGATTTTCACTGATAGGCAAACCAACATAAGTATTTTATAAATTGAGATTCATTTTATCATCCTCAAGGTAAGAAATTACCTTATTTAATTTGCTATCAGGATTTAGTCTGAGTTTATCACTGTGCTGATAAAGTTGAATTTAGACTTCAAAGGAATAAAGTTGATATCAGACAGTTTTGGTGATCTGTTATTGACTACAAAATGATTAGGGTCAGAAAGGGGGCAAGGTGGGATTGGGGCCTTACAAGACTTTTGGATATAGAGAGCATTTCTTCTAAAACTACTACCCAGAATTCCATGATGTGGAATGCCAACTTAGGCAGAGATAGTGAAAACCTGCCTTCTTTAGTGAACTCTCCATGCTTCCTCTCCTTTCTTCAATTTTGTACTGGTGTAGTCTGCCAGGACCTCTCCTTTACACCACCATTGCCAGATCTCATCTGCTTAGTCTGCATCTCTTTTAAAATATTAGTGTCCCTCTTCCTTAGGTCTCTTCTTCTTCTTTTTTTTTTTTTTTGCCCCAGAATATTTTATGGCAGAGGACTTTGCTTTATAGGTTTTTAAGGTAAAAGATTTACCTCTGCTGGATAATCATTGCAAGGTGCACAAAAGTTAACTGGTAATTTTTTTTTCAACCTGTTGCCAGAACAGGGCTACAGGGAGTAGACGGGGGTGTGGGAGTAGAGACAGAAGCTGAGGGCCTTCAGAGTTAGCATAGGTGGATGGGATTAGGATAGGGATCAAATATGTTTTCTAATCAGAGGAGATGTGTCTTCCTGTAGATGCTAACTCAATCTTCTGGCTCTCTTCTTGAGAGATTTCTAAGGGCTTGAGAGTGGGTTCTATAGCATGATAAAGCAGAGGCCCAGGCTAGGAGATCTGGTAGGCTTTAGACTCAGTTCTGTCCCTAACTCATTGTGTGGTTTCTAACTACTCATTTAACCTTTCTGCCTCAGCTTCCTCACTTAAAATATGAAGATCCACTTTCTCCCCTTTCTTAATTAATAAATTAAGTTGATTTTGAATTTCAATGTCTGCTTCCTTTTCTACCTTAGTATGTGAATTGAAAACTCCAACAATGAGTGAATTTCTTAGCGGCCTGGAGAGCTCAGGGTGGTTAAGACACATTAAAGCTATTATGGATGCTGGAATTTTCATTACAAAGGTAATAATCAGGACTTTTAAAATTTGCACTGACTTGAATTATGTGATATCTTGAAGTAGTAGTGTGCCATGGTGGAAAGAATATTAAAAATAAACGTAGTTTCTAGATTCAGCTCTGCTACTAATTCACTGTGTGCCCTTGGGCAAGTCTCTTTTCTTCTCTGTGTCTCATGTTTGAACAAAAGTCTAATGATGTAACTTTCAGGCGGCCACATAATTCTTTAGTAATATGATTAACTGTCTCCCCCACTGGAGAAATGAACATATGATGATGCATACAGAAAATGAACCTAAATTTCAGGGGGTCCCCAGACCCCTGAACCTCACATTAAAACTCTTGGGTAATCTCTAATTGATAATTGATAATAATTGATCTCTAGTTCAGTTATTCTGTGATGTATTTTTATGTGGATTCTAAGGTATCAAATACAAGAGTGAATGTGACATAAATGCAGAGCTTATATATCTTTGAGTTTTCAGAACTCTTGAATACAAAGACCTATTTTTTAAACTCCTTTGTGTAGATCTGCCTGTAAATGCAGCCTAGTCAGGCTTTGTCACCCTGTATTTATGCTGAATTATTTATTTTCTGATCTCTGGGACCGTAGGCCCTGGTAGCTTTTGTTAAGTGGTTTGTTTTCTTAAAAAATAAATAAATAAAAATAAAAATAATCAGTATATATTTTCTCATTTTAGCGTTTGGTTTTTATATATTCCTACATGATAACTCTCCCTCTTTATTCCACCCTGTTATTTGGTAAAAGTAAAGGCAATATTGACTTTTCATCCATCTGATATAATTTTCTCAGTTGAAGGCAATGTTATATATATGTTATATATACCCTCTGGCTTAAAAGGTTTGAAGATTTTATATAATTAACTGCCTTAAATATCCAAACGCTAATATCCTACCTTTTTGCTTTCCTAGTCTTGTTGCCTGCACTTTTCATTGTTATTCATGTTCACTATGTGACCCTGTCAGTTGTTTCAAGCCCACTCTTCTAACAATTCTTTGTACTATTCCTTTTTCATAGATTTACATCAATATATCTATAGTTCCTTCTGAAACCAAATTTATTAGACCCAAGATAGTGAGGATGGAGGAGAGGGAGATTTGAGAGACAGTACAGCCTTATAAATATTGGTCGAATTAAAACGAGTGACCAAAAAGATAGGCTTGGATCACACAGTGTTTCTGCGTTCCCTATCTCTATTACCACCTATCAGGTATCCCAGGCTTGAGAACCTCAGTTAACCTTAAATTCTACCCCTTCTTCTCCATCTGGTTGTTGCCGAATCCCATGTGTTCTGCTTAAAAAGTGTTCCTCAAATTTGTATTTTCTTCTCAGTCTCCACTGCTACTTCTCTAGGTAAGATAGCCACCATTCATTGCCCACAGTGTAATAACCTCTTAACTGTTTTACTTGTCTCTAGTAGTCACTCTCTAGTTTGGCAACCAAATTGCTACTAAAGTTATTTTTCTTGAACATGTGTGATCATGTCACTTTAAGCTCAAAATCCTCCATTGGTTATCAATTCTATTGCCAATAAGACCCCATAAGCTTGGCATTCAGAGTCTTTCACAGTCTCGCCCCAACTTGGCTGTAGTGGACTTCTTGCTTCTCTAACATACTATGTTACTTCTTTTTCTCTCTCTTTCTTTTTCAAATGTTTATTTTATTTACCCATTTTCTCATAAAAAAGCAATGTATGTACATTATCAAAGAAGTAAACATTTCAGAAATATATCATAAAATGTAAACATTCTCCATAGTTTGTCCCACAACATACATACATCACTGATGGTAGTTTAATGTTTATGCCCCTCAATCAGCACTGTTCATTTGAACTTTTTGTGATGATAGAAATGTTCTGTATCTGTACTATTTAATACAATACCCACTACATGCGGAAATTGAGCACTTGAAATGTGGCTAGTGAGAATGAGGAACTGAATTTATGATTTTATTTAGTTTTAACAAATTCAAATTTAAGTAGCTATAGGCAAATGACTACCATATTGGACAGTGCTGCTGCTCTAGTTTTTCAACATATAGAGTTACACATATTAATACTTTTTAAAATGAGCTCATACTGTGCATACTGTTTTCTTCTTTTTGAGACAGAGTTTTGTTCTTGTTGCCCACGCTGGAATTCAGTGGCGTGATCTTGGCTCACTGCAACCCCCGCCTCCCGGGTTCAAGGGATTCTATTGCCTCAGCCTCCCAAGTAGCTGGGATTACAGGAGCGTGCCACCACACCTGGCTAATTTTTGTGTTTTTAGTAGACACGGGTTTTTGCCATGTTGGCCAGGCTCATCTCGAACTCCTGACCTCAGGTGATCCACCCACCTCGGCCTCCCAAAGTGCTGGGATTATAGGCGTGAGCCACCATGCCCGGCCCATACTGTTTTTTAATCGACTTTTTGTACTTACTGTTTAATGAGCATTTTTAAAGATAGTTCAGTCAGTCCTACATCATTCTTTTCAGCAACTATGTTATATTCCATTGTGGTAATTTACCTTAGTACCCTGTTGGAAAATTTAGTCCCCTGATGGAAAATGTACTTGTTCCTAATTTTTCACTAATGCAGATATTGCTGCACCAAATACCTTTAAACATATATCTTTATAGAAATGAATTTTTGGAGTCAAAGTATGAATGTTTCAAATTTTAATAGATGTGGCCAAATTGCCCTCCAAATAGATAGTACCAGTTTCTATTCCTACCAAAAGTGCCTATTTTTCCATTTTGGCAGCAATGGTTAAATCAATCTTTTTGCTCTTTGCTAATGTGATAGATAAATTTTAGATTATTTTAATTTGTATTTCTTTAATCATTAGTGAAATCTGCCATCTTTTTCTGTCCACCAGTGACTTTTGACTCCATTTGGAGCCCTAAACAAAGAACGTGGTTGCTACTGTCATGCTCTGCTACTACTTGAGGTGTCTGCTGAATTGAGAAGTTAAAAAGTTGAAAAGCTTTTTTCCACATCTCTTTAACTCCTTTTCTACCTGCAACCCGACTACCTTTCTAGGAATATCATTTTTTCTTGTACCCCTATTACAAAGATTACTCATTCTCCCAAATCATATGATCCACACGGCCCAGGGCAGTTTCACTATTCTTCTTGCTCCTTACAAAAGCCCCTCCTCCTTTCAGATCTATTTGATTTAGCTATACTACCCTCTACACCTCCTAGTTACTCTTCCTTTTCCGTTAAGGATGTTGGGAACAGCCTTGCTACCTTCTTTTCTGTCCTGGTTCTTCCCCTCATCTGAAGAAATTTGAATGTCAATGTACAACTTATCAAACATTCTGTACTTAACAGTTCTTTGAACTTTTATAATTCCAGCTATCACATCCTTAATCCAGCTAGCATAGTTCTTCTCTGTCATGGAAACCTCTGCACTTTTAACTCCTCTTTTCCCAAACTTCTTCTTTCTTCCCTATATACCAAGACCTGGTGGTGTAGCACTTCATCCATTCTACCTTGTCCTTATCCTTCTACTCTACCTGCCCTGCTAGCCACAGACATTCTCTGCTCTTACAACCTGACCTCTAAGCATCGCTGCAAATAAATAAATCCCATAGACATGTTAGTTGGTACTATCATAGGTTTATGCCTTATAGTCATAGCTGTGGTCCTGTAGTCACAGGGCCACGGAACAGTTATTTTATGTGTGCCTGGTTAGCTCCCAGTTCTGTTTCACCAGGCAGATATTCCTTGTACCTTACTTTCAAACTGGCTACACCATGGTAACTCCCCTCTCTATAAGCACATATTGAAACGTGTCCTTCTTTATGAAAAAATGTATATGATACCTCTTCTTCTCACTATTATCCTTACCAACTTCTTTGCTATCCCAGAGGATATGGTGCCCCATCTTCTGTGTAAGGATACTCACTCTACCTATATTCGAAATTCCATCTCTTCCTACTTTAAGGAACCAACTCTATCAGTTAAACCTCTTTGTCCTGCATTTTCAATCTGTTCTTTTCTACTGGCTTCTTCAGTACTATGCTCAAATATTTTCTGATTCCTAAAGAAAAAGTACTTTTTAAATCTTCTTCTAGCTACTGCCCTCTTTCCTCTTGGTTAGAGCCTTCTGAAAAGTAGTCGATTTTTCCTATTAGTAATTCATCTTCCTTCACCTTTCAGTCCACTGTGATACTATTTTCATACAATTACTGTTGCTCTTGCAGAGGTCTTATGACCTTCGACTTGTAAAATCTAAGAGTCACTTTTTAGTCTTCACTCTATTTTAACTTCTCTGCTGCATTTGGCACTGTTCACTCCTTTTCACTTTGAACCCTTTTTGTGGTGTTGACTTTTATCCAACTACTCCCTCTTGGCTCTCTTTCTACCTTTTAGGCTTTTTTTTTTTAAACAGTCTGACTGTAATAATCCACCTTCTTCTACTGGAAGGTGGATTATTATAGGAGTCATTGCTTTTTAAGGTCTTTTCTTTTGTCACATTTGGTCTCTGCCTGGATAGCGTCAACTATGCACACAGTGTATACACTATCTCTATTCAGATAGTGGTGAAATCTATACTCTGGCTTAGATCTTTCCCTCTCCTGTACTTCAAAGCCACATATCCAGTTCTCCTGCTGGACTTTCCAAAAGATGTCTCTGAACTGCCTCAAACTCATCATGGCCAAAACAGAAATCTTACGTACCCCCACTACTACCTAAAACTTGCTTTTGTGTTTATTATTTAGTCTAATGTCACTACCTTCCACCTGGTTGCTAAACCACACATTTTAGAGTTATCCTTGACTTTTCCTTCTCCTTCATCCCATGTCTAGTCTCTCACTGTCCTGTTAAAATGTTCATACTTAAAATCCCTCTTCTGCTTTTCAGCCCCACTGCTACTACCTTACCTCAGGCCTATATGGACTTTCACAATTTTAGTAGCTCCCTAACTGGTCTTCCTACAACCAAACTCATGTCCTCTCCATCCATTCTCTGCTGCCATCACAGCTGTCTTTCAAAGATATACATCTGATTATGGCACTTCTCTGCTTTCAACTCCCTGTTGCCATAAAATAAAATGTATACTTGATTGGTCTGTCCCTTACCCTCCTAGCCGTCTCTATCTCTCCTTATTCCCTTACTTCCCGCCTAGCCTGAGCCATTAAGGCTCTATGCCATCACTCCTCCTTGCAATGTACATACTGTTACATCATTCTCCTTCCTGGAATCTCCTTTCCTCCTGGTCCATTCAGTAAATTTCTATTCATCTTTCATGACCTACTTTAGTTGTCTCCTCCTCCTTGGTTATCTTTTGTGCCTTTGTTATACCTGGCATGGATGTTTACCTTTTATTTTTCATTGGATTGTAGTCATGCATTTAAGTGTTTGTCTCTTTTGTATTCCCAGTGCACATCATAGTACCTCTTGTACAGTTTCTCAGTAATTGTTGGCTAGGTGTGTGGGTGAATGAAGGGGTGAATTAATGTCTTTTTTTACCTAAGGAAATCCTACTCTTTCTTCAAGGTTCAAGCTTCCCTGGCTCCAGAAAAATATCATTACTACACATTCCTTTATGTTAGCAGTAGTTTTTCCATTGTGTTTTAATTATTTATTTATCTTTGGTCACCCTGACTAGTTTGTGGTTTCCTTGAAAGCAGAAACTGAGTCTTATCTTTGTATTTCTAATACCTGCCTCATAGAGGTACAAAATTGTTAGAATGAATAAGTGAATGACCAATATGTACCATTGCCAAAATTTCTCAGGTTGAATAACTGCCCAGATTTTTACATCATTCTGATTGTATTTATGCAATCACTTTTTAAAGCGACCTAAGACAGCAAGCACCTCCATCTTAATTTGGAAGCATTTGTGTTAGTAAGACTAAAACAGCTAGAGGAGATTGTTTTTCAGATCTGGAACTAGAATGCAGAGCTGTCTGTGTTTTTGAGTGTGAATTCTTCCTCCTATTTACCTATTCCTCTGAGAATTGATCCTTGTTTTCTTCAGAAGTTTTGTGATTTTAGAACTCCCCTCGTCTTTCTTTTTGCCCTATGTTATGGGTTAGTTTTGATACTTTTTTCCTATTTGGTAAGCTTTCTTTCTCTTTCAGTCCATTATTTTCCTTTTCATTCCCCATAGAGGATGCTATCATTATAAGAAAAAATTAATGTAGCCCAGTAAGACCAGGTTCTCTGTGCTGTAGGGGCTATATTTGGTAACTCTTTAACTCAACAAGCTATGCAAGGGTTGCTTATGGTACTTTTTTGCTTCTTGTTTTCACAGGCAGTGAAGGTAGAAAAGGCCAGTGTCTTAGTTCATTGTTCTGATGGGTGGGACCGCACAGCACAAGTCTGCTCAGTGGCCAGCATCCTCCTAGATCCATTTTATAGGACATTCAAAGGACTCATGGTAAGAGAGCACGCTACTATATTTTACTTTGTGTAAGTGGTAGATTGCAACAAAATAAAAAAAAAATTCTCGAACATTTCTTTTTGCCAGAATTAGCTCTACATCTAAAAAAATAGCTTTTTTTTCCAATTTAGCTTCTTTTCTTTAAATTTAGGTATGTACTATCTGTATACTTTCTTTTGTATGTTCACCATATTTCTTACCTATCAGAAGGTAAATTTTATGTAATAGGCTACTGTACAGAGTAGGAAAACCTCAAAAAAGTTTGCAAAACTGAATGGATGACTATTAAATAGGTTGTCCAAGGGGCTCATCATTTTTAACATGTCAGCTGTTTGAATGTCTTGACTCATGATTGTTTTTTAGTGCTAAATCTGAATTTAAGACCTCTTAGTTGATCTTTCTAAGAAACAGAACTCACCATAGTGGTTTATTCTCATTTCTTGGAAAGCTTTTTTGTTTTTGTTGAGATGGAGCATTGGTCTGCCACCCAGGCTGGATTACAGTGGCACGATCCTGGCTCACTGCAAACTCCGCCTCCTGAGTTCAAGTCATTCTTATGCCATAGCCTCCCAAGTAGCTGGGATTGCAGATGTGCACTACCACACTCGGCTAATTTTTGTATTTTTGTTACAGAGCTGGTTTCACCATGTTGGCCAGACTGGTCTTGAATTCTTGGCCTCATTTGATCTGCCTTCCATGGCCTTCTGAAGTGCATACCTGGCTGGAATTTTTTTAAAATGGTTAAAAATGGTTTTGTTACTGGTATAAAGCTAAGAGCTGCCTTTGGATTTCTGTTTTTCAAAGGTTGAGTTTAATATCATGCTTATCAGGATTGCATTTAGTTCTGGCTCAGTGGCTTGTCACACATCATGTGAAAGCCAAAGGAAATTTGACTCTGGATATGTCTGAGAGCATCTGAAATCTGAAGGTACCCTATATAGGCCTATGAATGAAGTCTAAGTTACTTCATTATCATTTAGGAAATAACTTTTTTATGATCGGTTCAATCATTCAGCAAAGTGTTTTGACATTCTTGTATATATGGTTAATTCATTTTATGATTTTCCTAATACAAACTCTTTCTTTTGTATAAAATGAAGATCTTGATAGAGAAGGAATGGATATCCATGGGCCACAAATTTTCCCAAAGGTAAAAATATACTCTTTTTGATGGAAGGGGCTGAGGATAATTCATTAGGGTAAAGTATATAAAAACCCCAGAATGTACATGTAGAGAAAGCAACAGGAAGTTGAACATGGCATAAATCACTTTTCATCAAGAAACAAGTATTCTAGATAATATGCTAGTGTACTAATGTGACAAAGGTAAGCAGAATACTATCTCTGCTTTCAAGGAGTACCAGTAACTATATCAAATTCTTAAGTATTTCAAGGAAGAACAAGTCATCACAGGCTACAGAAGGAAAAGTGCTTAACTTTGCATGAAGAGGTCAGGGTAGGCTTCCAGGAGTATATAGCATTTAGGATGAATTTTTGGAAATGAATAGAAATTTAATAGGAAGAACAAGGGAATGAAGAGGTCATTCAGATAGAGGGACTAATATCAAGACAATGCACCTTTCAACCTTTTGTAAGAAAAAAGACAGTTGGAGGTTTGTTCTTTTTTAAGGAGTGAGGACAAGAGTTTATATTTATCTGTTATCTGCTATAAACCAAACAGCCTCATTAAGGCTTTACCTATCTTATCAGGACAATCAATAAATATTTGACAAATGCCTAACAATGTGCTGTATATTATATCAGACACTAAGCTGATTCCAAAGACAAATAAAATTTGAGTTTTGGCCAGACGCAGTGGCTCACACCTGTAATCCCAGAACTTTGGGGGGCTAACATGGATGAATCACCTGAGGTCAGGAGTTTCAGACCAACCTGGCCAACATGGTGAAACCCCGTCTCTACTTATAATACAAACATTAGCCAGGCATGGTGGCAGGCATCCATAATCCCAGTTCCTCAGGAGGCTGAGGTAGGTGAATTGCGTGAACCCAGGAGGCAGAAGTTGCAGTGAGCTGAGTCCACGCCTTTGCACTACAGCCTGGGTGACAAGAGCGAAACTCTATCTCAAAAAAAAAAAAAAGAAATTGAGTTTTACCCTAATGAGATTATAATAATTCAGGTCTTATTTTCCCCCATTGATATGCATTAATTTAATTTCATTTGGTTTCTACTCTGTAGCTATTTGGGTCTATTTATTTATTTTTCCTTCACCCACAAACATTGTCGCAGTCATTATGTTAGGTATTGAGGAAATTGAGTTGAATCAGATATAGTTCCTATCTCTTCTATTAAAGAAAAGAAAAATCAGTGATGACAGTGTAGTATGATAAGTGCTTAAGAAAGAGGGAAACATAAACAAAGGAACTTTACCCATTCTGGGGCAAAGAAGGCTTCTTGGAATAGGTGACATTTTAACTGAGATTTAAAGTATGAGTAGATGTTATTTAGAAAGGGAGAAAGCATTCTAGCACTGATGTATTTGAAACCATAAAGACATTAAACAGGATCATTTATTTGAGGAGCTACAAGCAATTCAGTGTGGCTGGGTCAAAGGATGTGTAGGGAGAATAGAGGAAATGAGGCCAGGGAAGTGGAGCCAGTGAGGAGAAGATCATATAAAGCCCTGTTTGTTTGTTTTTTAAAGCTAAAAGATTGAGTGTTTTGTGTACATAGTAAAGCTATATTGGAGGACTTTGAACAAGGCAGTGACATGATGTTCAGATCTATATTTTACAAATATCTCTGTGACATCATGTGGAAGATTGAAATTGGTGACAAAGGGCTGAATTAGTAGGCTCTCAGAATTGATGAGGGCCTGAAAAAAAGACAGATGCAATGGGATAGATACAAAGGTATTCAGGAAGTAGGACTCACCAGAAGATGGGAGAAAAAGTCTAGTTAAACTCAAAGGTTTCTGCCGTAGGTAACTGGGTTTATTGAGATAGAGGATACAGGATAATACAGGGAAGGTTTGGAAAGATAGCTTCAGTTTGGGACTTAATTGGCATGGGGCATCCAAGAGAAGATATCCAGTAGGGAGACTATTCAGTAGTAATCTGGAGCTCACTAGTTCTGGATTGGGTAGAGAGGTGGTATAGAGGGAGTAATCTGCTTATAATTGGTGGTTTAAACCATGGATTCAGATAAGGTAACTAAAAAAATTGTATATAGAGGAAGAAGAGCCAAGGGGTGGCACACAGCCTTGGATAATACTGACACCTGAAAGTCTAGTGAAGAAAGAAGTTCATGAAGGTTGCTGTGAAAGGGTGGTTAGTGAGGTAAGAATAAATCGAAGGATAGGAAAGAAAAAACATAAGAGAGGAGAATCTCAAGAGAGTAGACAGCAGTGTCATATGCCTCAGAATAACCCAAGAATCGACTTCGGCAATATGCAGGTTTTAATGATCTTTAGTGATAACTGGTTGAGTAAAGTGGTGAAAGCAGAAGCCAAATGGTTGTGAATGGAGGCATGAGTGAGGGATGAGGAAGTGGAATGTGAGTATATAAATCTCTTTCAAAGAACCTTGGCTCTGAAGTGGGTAAAAGAGAAGGGGTGGGATTTGGGTTTGAGGAAGTATATTTCAAGACAGGAGATTTGAGCAGTTTCTTATGATGAGAAGAAAGAAACATTAAAGAAGATAAGGTGATAAGGTTGAAGATATGAAAGAAAAAGTGGGTTTTTGGTAGAGTAAGCCTTCTGGGCAAACGGGTGAAAATTCCAGTCCAAATGAAAGATTAGCCTGAGCTATAATGAAGAACAGCTTTTCCATGGAGATTAGGTGAAAAGACAGGCAGAGAAGGTGCTATATATGCTTATTAGAGGCAGAAGTTAGACTTCTTTTTTCTATTTAATGGCCTTGATATTTTTCAGTGACACTGGAGTGAAGGAAGATATTAAATTGATTCGGGGTTTGAGAAGGAAGTTTAAAATTTGTAAGAGCTGTAAAGGTAATGAGAAAATGGTGTTAAGAACCTACATGAAGATTATTTGAGAGCAGTTAAGATGCAGCTGAATATCGAGTCTAATTTTGAATGGTGTGAATTGTACGATTTTATAATTTCTTGAGCATTATTAGGATTATTAGAAGCAGAGAACAGAGCTTTTAAGGCTGATCTGTGGTTGTATTTAGAAGGAAAATAATGACAAGAAAGATTAGAAAGTTGAAAAAAATGGGGAGAGAGTAGTTAATAGGGGAGATCATGGAATTTAGGCTTGATAAGGAAAAAGAGAAACCAGTAGGAATCTGGCATGTGGAGATATCCTGAAATAAGGCCTGAAGGAGTTAAGAAGATGAGCAGCTTTTGGGAATATAATATAAGGTGTTCAGAATGGGATACTGTGATTAAGATTTCAAAGATGGAGTAAAAGCTACTAGCCAGCCTGTGGCCAGTGGATTCAAAAGGGTGGAGTAGAGGTAAAGATCAGTGAAGGTAATTTGATTTGTGTTAGTTAAGGAATCTGTTGAGCTAATGTAAGTCATCTACATCAACACCAAAGCTTAAGACCGTCAGATTGTTCAGAGAATGTAGAGAAGTGACTCAGGGATTCCAGAAAACATAATTGAGGAAGGAGAAGGTAAATAAGCTAATAGCAAGCCCCATAAAGGAAGTGTTTTTAAGGGCCTAAAAATAATAACTTAGAAGCAGCAAGGTGCTTCTAAGAAGCAGAAGGTGCAAGGAGAAAGCTAAACCCACCTCTGCTTTGTTTTAGTATTATGGTATGTGGAAAGTGGAATGATCAGCATTCTCCATTTTATTTTGACCCCAAGGAAAGGTGGTATCCTTGTGAGCCATGCTGTAATTATATCAGAAGGTAGAGAACCTGCAGTATAGAAACTGAGGGTGCCATGTTGGTTTCCAGTGGAATAGTGTTTTCAGTGGTTGATAGGGTTGGTAAAGAGAGCATTATGAGGAGGAAACATTAAACAGTTCTGGGATGAGGTTTCATTCATGCACTTAATAAAGGGGGTTTCTTAAATACCTATTTTGTGCCAGGCACTATGCAGTAAACAATATAGATGAGATCATTGCTCAGACAGAGCTAAATGTAGCTATTTAAATTAAATTAAAATTAAATACAATTAAAAAGCCAGTCAGCCACACTATCCACATTTCAAATGCTTAACAGTTAGCGGCTGCTATATTGGACAGCACGACTGTAGAAATTTTCCATCATTGCAGAAAGTTCTATTGGAAAGAGGGTGAAAAAGAAAATAGATGAGATGACCAAAGGGCTTACAGTCTGGATGATAGTACAGGACACCAGCAGCTAAGAGGTTTGCTGGGATTAACTAGCTTTGAGATTCTGGCTGGCATTTTGGTATGAGGTGTTTCCTTGCCACTGCCAACAGGGACAAAAGATGACCTTGTTACAGCCTACTCCCAACAGTGTAATCCTTGATGCTAACTAGTGTCTTTCTTTACCTTTATTTGCATCTCTCAGGTGTGGCCACCTCGATGGAGACTCTAAAGAAGTGTCCCCCGTCTTCACTCAGTTCCTAGACTGTATTTGGCAATTAATGGAACAGTTTCCCTGTGCCTTTGAGTTTAATGAAAACTTCCTGCTGGAGATCCATGACCATGTTTTCTCCTGCCAGTTTGGAAACTTCCTTGGAAACTGCCAGAAGGATCGGGAAGATCTAAGGTGAATTTACTTTGTGAGAAAACAGTAAATAGGCAGAAGGGGGTCAGTGCAAAAAAGAATGTACCTACCACCCTGAATTTGGCATAGTAGTCAAGAAAGGGGAGGAGATCACAATAATATAAAACTTTTGAAGCAGAAAGCACTCAGTGTTTGCAGCAGAGATCTTTCAGAACCATGAGATTTCTTATTTGTAAAATAGGGATAATAATGCCTACTTTTTAGAGCAATCATGAGCCAGTAAAATAATGGATATACAATGCCTTTGCAGATAATTAATTGCTGTGCAGGTATGAGTAGTCATTATCTACTTCTCACTCATATTAGGGATCACAAACTAGCAGCTCATAGACCGAACCCAACCCAACAAGCATGGTTTGTTTAGTGTGTGGAGTATTTTTTTAAAAACTCCTAATTAGTTGCCAACATTTTTGTTTATTTATGTAGCTTTTTGGGGAACAGATGGTATTTGGTTACATGAGTAAGTTCTTCAGTGGTGATTTGTGAGACTTTGTGAACCAGTGGATCCCATGTATTTTGAGGTGTTAACTAAGGGACTTGCTTGCTGGTTGAGTAGGCTCCCCATGGTCTCAACTCAATAAGAATCAGTTTTGTAATATAAATGCCATAATCTTTAGTTGCCCACCTGGGAGAACTCATGGATATTTTCTATTATAAATTTCCAATTCAGCTATGTGACCCATCTCCTGAACAGTGAACCCAATTTGTAGTCTTTTATCCCTCAACCGCTTCCCACCCATTCCCCCCGAGTCTCCAGAGTGCATTGTGTCATTCTTATTCCTAGTTGCCAACATTTAAATATCAGGAGATTTCACATTAAATTCAATTATTTTAGGATGTTTTTCCTAACTATTCTGAAAACTCAGGAGCTCTGGCAACACTAGATGGTATTTTCTCATGATAATAATAAGCTAGAGCTGAATAGTAGCTGTTCCATTTGGATGAGGCAAGTTTACTCTTGTTGACTGCAGTTCTTATCATTCTCTATAGTTTATTGTTAGCCCATTTCTAATGTTATCTCCCTAGTTCTAGTAGGTAGTTGAGTTTGCACCCCTTACTTAAACTAACATCCTCACAATATATGAGACATAAGTACTTTTTGAAATTGACAAGAGAGAGCTATGAACAGTGTTTTCCTTATTTTAGAGACAGAGTAAAAGAAATAGGAAAGTAGCTGTTTCACAACTCACTCCTATTTCACAGCTGTTGGCTGAGTTAGCAGTTAGCCCAACTCTCAGGCCCCTTTATAGCATAGCCAGGATGAGATTACTTCTCTGTGATTTAGTTTTCCTGTCAACATAGAGAACAATAATAAGTCTTTCTGTTTTAACATTTGTACTTACTTGGTAGTTTCTCTCTTGCTGCCATGCATGTTTCTCTCTCTCTCTTCACAACTAGACCTTTGTCACTTACTCCCCAAGTACTTTTAAGATTTTCATTATGTCTTTAAGTTATTTCCCTAGGCATTAAAACTCAGGATCTTTTCCATAATCTTTTTTCTTCTCTTAATATCAGGTCAATACATGTAGTATTTTTCATACAAATATGAATATTCATTTAAAAACTACAACAATTAAACATTTTAATGTATTTTAAAGTAGTGACTACTTAAAATAAGCAGAAGTGTCATTTATTCATGAATGGAAAAGCATGGGTTTTGAGTCAGGCAGACTTGGGTTCAAACTTTGGCTCTGTCACCTACTAGCTATGTGACCTTGAGCAAATTAATAGTCTCATTTTCTCATTAGTAATTTTGGGCTAAAATATCTATCTCACAAGATTTCACTGGGAAAATTTAAGGAGGTATTTTAGGTAATGGGTCCGGAATAGTGTTTGAACACGTAGTAAATGCTCAACAAATTAGTTACCTTACCAGTGCAGTATTTTTCTTTTCATGTTATAAACCAATAGCAGATGAAACAGACAGATATACAGGGCCGTTGGCCTCACTGAAATACTCTGACAGTTGTATAAGTTACAGGACAACAATTTTAGGTCTTACTACTTGTACCACTCTTCAGTTCTCCTTTAGCTTTCTTCGACATGGTGTGTGTGCAAATGACGTTCTCATGAATGGTTACACAGCAGCTCACATTGGGAACCAGTGGATCCCATGTATTTTGAGGTGTTAACTAAGGGACTTGCTTGCTGGTTGAGTAGGCTCCCCATGGTCTCAACTCAATAAGAATCAGTTTTGTAATATAAATGCCATAATCTTTAGTTGCCCACCTGGGAGAACTCATGGATATTTTCTATTATAAATTTCCAATTCTCTGTCACTGTCTTAAACCTTCTGAAGGGAGGTTTTATTTATTTAAAGCCAGAAGCTGGCTTTAAATAAATAAAATATAGAAGAGCCAGATAATCACTCCATAGGACCTATCTGTTAACTTACCAGACTTTCAAAAGCAATTCAAAAATTTTTAAAACCAGAAAAGTCATTAGTTCATAAAATCCTTGATTTGGAATGTAACTTAGAGGTCACATTTAACGATGAGGAAACAGGCCCAGAGAAAGCTCGGGATTTTCTTAAAATCACACAGCTATTCCACAGCAGAAATTGGACTTAGAATCTCCTGTTCTCCAATATGGAACTCTTTCTAACCTCTGATTTATTTTAAAGATAGATAAATTGAAGCCCAGATAATTTGTTACTCCATCAACACTTATTAGCCACTTATTTTTCTTCTGTCATATCCTGTCCTCCTTTCTTGAGTTGGGTTACTTATTAGTAAAATTTGCTGCTTATCATGTTCAACAGGACTATTGAGATTGCTTGCTTGCTGCTTTTAATTTTTTGGCTTGTTTTTCTTTTCTAACAGAATCTATGAGAAAACACATTCTGTGTGGCCTTTCTTGGTTCAGAGGAAATCAGACTTCAGGAACCCTCTCTATAAAGGCTTCACTATGTATGGGGTGCTCAATCCTAGTACTGTGCCCTACAACATTCAGTAAGTTCTTAAGTTTTTCCCTCCTTTTGTATAGCAGGTTCTAGGGTCTCGGCCTCTTTGCTTCTCCTTGGATAGCTGCCACCATCTGTACAAGCCTGGGTATGGAATAGGACATTCTGTCCTCATATCAGCCATTTTTTGCTGCCTCTGAAAACAAGAGCCCAACTCCTATTGGTTTTCAGGGCTTTTCTGTTGCCTGCTTAGGGAAATGAATAAGAAATTATAGTTGATTTATAGAAATACAAACAGTCAAGATAAAGTTTGTTTGATTCATTTACTCTTCCTTTGTATCTTCTTCTAGTTTTTTGTCCCTTCCCCGAAAAAAGAAAAATGAGGGAAACCAAGAAGTGCTGGTAATGTTTTCTATATTTTTCCAAAGCTTCTGCGGCTGAAGCACTCACAAAGAGTATAAAACAGAACTAAATAAATTTATTAGCTCTAATAGCTTATTTTGTGGATTCTTCAGGATTTTATAAATATAAGATCGTGTCATCTCTGAATAGAGAGTTTTATTTCTTCCTTTGCAATTTGGATGTCTTTCATTTCCTTGCCTAATTGCCCGGCTAGAACTTCCAGTACAATGTTGAGTAAAAGAAGTGAAAGGAGGCATCTGTGTCTTGTTCCTGATTTTAGGGGTAAAGTCTTTCACTATTGAGTATTGATGTTAGCTGTAGGTTTTTCACAAATTTCCTTTTTCATATTTTAGGATTTTATCTTCTGTTTTCAGTTAGTTGAATGTACATTTTAATTTTTGCTATTATTACATTTAAAATTTTAATTGACACAATAGTCGTACTACATACGGAGTACAGAGTGATTATGCTGTTTGTCTTTCTGTGTCTGGCTTATTTCAGTTAACATAATGTTCTCATCTGTGTTGCTGTGAATTACAGCATTGCTTTCTTTTTTGTTGCTAAAATAGTATTTTCTCATGTATACTTACCACATTTTCCTTCTCAATCCATCCGTTTATGGACACTCAGGTTGATTTAGTATCTTGGCTATTGTGAATAGTGCTGCAATAAATATGGGAGTGCACATATCTCTTCAATACAATGACTTCATTTTCTTTGGATATATACCCAGTAGTGGTATTGCTAGCTATATCATAGGACAGTTCTATTTTTACTTTTTTTAGGAACTCCATGCTGTTTTTCATAATGAATGTACAAATTTACATTTCCACCGACTTCACCTTGTTGATCGTTTCCTTTACTGTGCAGCAGAAGCTTTTCAGTTTGATATAATCCCATTTGTCTACTTCTGCTTTTGTTACCTTTGCTTTTAGAGACATAGCCAAAAAATTGTTGCTCAGTCCAATATTATGAAGTATTTTCCCTGTTTTCTTCTAGTAGTTTCATAGCTTTGGGTCTTTCATTTAACTTTTTAGTCCATTTTGAGTTGATTTTTGTATGCAACAAGAGATAGGTATCTAGTTTCATTCTTTTGCAGATGGGTATCCATTTTTTTCCAGCACCATTTACAGAAAGTTGTATTTTCCCCAATGTTTGTTCTTCACACCTTTGCATGTATATGCATTTTTCTTTCTGGGCTCTCTCTTCTATTCCATTGGTCTATGTGTCTTTTTTTTTTTAGATTAGTATCATGCTGTTTTGGCTACTATGGTTTTGTAGTACATTTTGAAGTCAGATAGTGTGATGTCTCCAGCTTTTTTTTTTTTTTTTTTTTTTTTTGCACAAGATTGCATCAGCTGTTCAGGATCTTTTGTGGTTCCATATGAATTTTAGGATTCTTTTTTCTATTTCTGTTAGGAATGTCATTGGTATTTTCTTAGAGATTACACTGAATCTGCAGATTGCTTTGGTAGTGTAGACACTTTAACAATATTAATTCTTCCAGTCCATATAGATGGGATATCCTTCTGTTTATTTGTGTCATCTTCAATTTCTTTCATCAATGTTTTATAATTTTCAGTGTGAAGGTCTTTCACCTCCTTGGTTAGATTTATTCCTAAGTATATATTTTTTGTAATGATTGTAAGTGGAACTGTCTTCTTGAGTTCTTTTTCAGATAGTTTACTATTGATATGTAAAAATGCTGTTGATTTATGTATGTTGCAACTTTACTAAATTTGTTTATTAGCTCTAGCAGTTTTTTTGGTGGAGTCTTTGGGTTTTCTATATACAGTGGACTCTTAACACAGATTTCAAACGTGTGAGTCCATTTTTATGTAGATTTTCTTTCACCTCTGCAACCACTGAGTCAACAAGACCAACCCTTTTCCTCTTCTTCTGTCTATTCAACATGAAGATGACAAAGATGTAGATGTTTATGATGATCCACGTCCACTTAATTAATAGTAGATACATTTTCTCTTTCTTATAATTTTCTTAATAATATTTTCTTTTCTTTAGCTTAACTTATAAGAATACTGTATATAATACATATAACCTATGAAATAGGTGTTAATGATTTATGTTATATTGATCAGGCTTCTGGTCAACAGTTGGCTACTAGTAGTTACATTTTTGGTAAGTACAAACTTATACATTGATTTTCCAATGTGCAAGGGTTTGACAGTCTTTTTTATTATTTTATTATATTTATTTATTTATTGTTTTTTGAGACAAAGTCTTGCTCTGCCACCAGACTGGAGTGCAGTGGCGAGATCTCAGCTCACTGCAGCATCCAACTCCCTGGTTCAAGTGATTCTTCTGCCTCAACCTCCCAAGTAGCTATGCCCAGCTAATTTTTGTATTTTTAGTAGAGATGGGGTTTCACCATGTTGGCCAGGATGGTCTCCATGTCCTGACCTCATGATCCCCTTGCCTTGACCTCCCAAAGTGCTGGGATTGCAGGCATGAGCCACCGCACCTGGCCGGGTTTGACACTTCGAACCTTGGTATTGTTCCAGGGCCAACTGTATACACTCATGTCATCTGCAACCAGGGACAGTTTAACTTCCTCGTTTTCAATTTGCGTAACTTTCATTTCTTTCTCTTGTCTAATTACTGTGGCTAGAAATTCAAATACTAAGTAGAATAGAAGTGGTAAAAGTAGGCATTATTGTCTTGTTCCAGATCTTAAGGGAAAAACTTCCAACATTTCCCTGTTCAATATGGTGTCAGCTGTGGGTTTGTCATATGTGGCTTTTATTTTTAGTAAGATAAATACTTTCTATACACAATGTGTTGTTTTTATCATTAAGGGATATTGAATTTTGTCAAATGCCTTTTCTTCATCTATTGAAATGATCATATGGTTTTTGTCCTTCATTCCATTAGTGTTCTGTGTCACATTTATTGATTGGCATGTGTTGAGCCGTTCTTGCATTCCTGGGATGAATTCCACTTGATCATAGTGAATAATCTTTTTATCTGCTGTTGAATTCTGTTTGCTAGTATTTTCTTGATGATGTTTGCATTTGTGTTCATCAGGGCTATTCTTTCTTAATTGTGTCCTCGCCTGGCTTTGGTATCAGGGTAATACTGTCCTTATAGAATGAGTTTAGAAATATTGTCTCCTCTTCAATTGTATTGACTAGTTGGAGGAAAATTGGTATTCATTCTTTAAATGTTTGGTAGAATTCAGCAGTGAAGCCATCAGGTCCTGGGCCTTTCTTTAATGGGAGATTTTTATTACTTTGTTGATCTCATTACTCACTATTGGTCTGTTCAGATTTTCTATTTCTTCATTCTTTAATCTTGGAAGGTTGTATATGTCCAGGAATTTATCCACTTTTTACAGGTTATCTTGGTTTTCTGGCATAAAATTGTTCCTGTTACTGTCTTGTGATTCTTTTTATTTCTATGGCATCAGTTGTAGTATATCTTTTTTTATATCAATTTTATTTGAATGTTTTATATTTTTTTTCTTAGGCCAGCTAAAGGCATCTCAATTTTATCTTTTTTTAAAAATAACCGTTTCATTGATGTATTTTGTTACTTTAAGTCTCTCTTTTCTTGTCTTCCCTTTTCTTTTTTTGAAACAGAATACTGCTCTGTCCCTCAGGCTACAGTGCAGTGGCACAACCATGGCTGACTTCAGCTCCCACCTCCTGGGCTCAGGTTATCCTCCTGCCTCAGCCCCCTGAGTATTTGGGACTACAGGTGCATGCCACCACATCTGGCTAATTGTTAAATTTCTTTGTAGAGATGGAGTCTCACTATGTTGCCCAGGCTGATCTTTCCTGGCCTCAAGCAATCGTCCCTCCTTTGCCTCCCAAAGTGTGGGATTACAGGTGTGAACCACCAAGTCTGTCCTCTTTTTTCTCTTCTCTTTTCTTTATCTTCTTTTTTTCTTGAGATAGGATCTCACTCTGTTGTCTAAGCTGGAATACAGTAATGCAATTGTAACTCATTGTAGCCTCAAACTCCTGAGCTCACATGATCTTCCTGCTTCAGCCTCCCAAGTAGCTGGGACTATTGGTGCCTGCAACTACACCTGGCTAATCTTAATTTTTTTTCTAGAGATGGGTCTTGCTTTGTTGCTCATGCTGGTACAAACTCCTGGCTTCAAGTGATCTTCCTGCTTTGGCCTCCCTAATAGTGCTAGGATTATAGGCATGAGCTACTGTACCTGGGCTGTTTCATTTCTTTGTACTCTTTATTATTTCTTTACTTTTACTATTTATAGGTTTACTTGGGTTCTGAAATTTTTAATTCCTTTGGTGGATTGTTAGGTTTTTAATTTGTGATCTTCTTTTTCAATGTAGATATTTGTTACTATAAAATTCCCTTTTAGAACTGTGTTAGCTGTGTCCCAAGGATTTTGATATGTTGTATTCACCATGTTAATCAGGCTGGTCTTGAACTCCTGACCTCAGGTGATTCATCCACCTTGGCCTCCCAAAGTGCTGGCATTACAGGCTTGAGCCACCATGCCCCGCCTGTATTCCCATTTTCATTTCTTTCAAGAAATTTTTAAACTTTCTTTTAATTTCTTTATTGACCCATTGGTCATGTAAGAACATGTTGTTTAATTTACATATATTTGTGAATTTTCAGAAGTTCCTGCTGTTACAGATTTCTAGTTTTATA